AAAATAATAGAAGTAAAAAAAATTAAAACAAAAATAAAATAGAGATAAAAAAAAATTAAAAATTAAAAAGTAATCGGGTGGTAATTACACCATGTAATTACCAGCAATTCACAGTCTCTGCCTGTGAATTGTAGAGTGTAATTACCTCCTGCCAATTACACCAATTACCTGCTGACCAAGTAATTACTTGTCCTTCCAAACAGAACAAGACAATGTAATTACACCAATTACACCAAATCCAATTACCAGAGTGTCCTTCCAAACAGCCCTTAAAAAATTTAATGTGATGTCATTAAAAACCTCTGCGTGGAAGTGCTGCACTCCTCAATGTCAACATGCTAAAGCTGTCTATTTAAATACAGAAAATAAAATTTCAAATGTCAATGTCTAATCAGGTTATGTACATCTTGTTTTAGCTTCAAACAGTTGACACTTTAAAGTTGCAAGGGGGGGATTGGTGGGGGTAAAAGGCAAAGTAATGTTTAAGAAAACAGAAGTACATAACCTTCTTAATTTAGACTGTTACAGAATTCTTAATTTAGACTGTTACAGAATTCTTTACATACACAGAAGCATTCTCATATATATAGCAGCAGGTTCATGGAAACTTTAAACTAAAGCAAAATATTACAGACTTAACAATTTAAGTGAACAAACAGCTCTACACTTTATCTTTATATATGTTCAAGATGATAATATTTACACCAACACTTAACATAACAGTACATTTGCCCAAACAAAATTCAAGTTCTTCAATTTGATAATCATAATGAATATATAGCTAGTCCATAACTCAAAAGTTTAAATGAGTTAAGCAACTTACAACTTTGTGGTCTACATTTGGGGCAGCCCTGTGTTAGCTGGAGATGAAATCTGAAAAAGAATAGCTCAGTCTCAGTTTAAATGCAATAGCTGCAGCACCATGTTTCAAGAAGTTAAAATCAAGCGTAAATTACTTCAAAACAGCTACCACTTCAACCTCTGAATGATACTGGTAATGAATGAGGACTGTCAAGTAGTTGTTGAATTAAAAATAGCTCTAACTGTCTAACATTAGGCACTACACAGAGTATTAGGGTTCCATACATGAACCACCCTTTCTAATATACTTTTCTGTATAATGTAGGATTATCAAAAGTGTCAGCACCAGCTGGCCCTTTCTTATAGTAATTGAAATCTAAATGCTTATAGTGCTTCCCTCAATTGCAGCTTACAATGCAACAATTAATCAAAAATGTTAACAAATGAAACTTTGTACAAAATAGAACAATTAATGAAAGCCCTACAATCTATACTACAAAAAGACGAAAGCAATAAAGAAGATAACGCAATATTTACTCCAAATCATAGTATGAGCAGCACCTTTAATTGTAATAAAATGAACTACAGATTTCATTAATCAGATCTCAAAATAGTACTAAACCAGAGGTTTACGTAATTTGATTTACACTATCATTCAACAGAAGAAGCAAACAAAGCCCTAATACAAAACACACATTAATCATAAACATAAAAGAAGATTCCTAAGCCCTTTCTCCTCGAATCCTCCTAGCAAGCTGAATATCCTTGGGCATGATGGTAACCCTCTTTGCGTGGATTGCACAGAGATTGGTATCTTCAAAGAGCCCAACGAGGTAAGCCTCAGCAGCCTCTTGTAGAGCAGCAACAGCACTGCTCTGAAACCTCAGATCTGTCTTGAAATCCTGAGCAATTTCCCTCACTAGCCTCTGAAATGGCAACTTTCTGATCAACAACTCGGTAGACTTCTGGTACTTCCTGATTTCTCTCAGGGCCACAGTTCCTGGCCTGAAACGGTGAGGCTTCTTCACTCCTCCGGTGGCTGGAGCTGACTTTCTGGCAGCCTTGGTAGCTAGTTGCTTCCTTGGAGCCTTTCCACCAGTGGATTTGCGGGCAGTTTGCTTGGTACGAGCCATTTTGATTGTATGCTAAAATGAAGAAACAAATTGAGAGAATGGGAAGTTATTTGACTGTGCAAAAAAGGTGAATTTGAGAGATGTTATATAGGAGTGAAGTAAGCGGGAATCATAGGAAATTTGGAAGGGAGTTCGAAATTGATAACATCCGTTGGATCATAAAATTTGGACGGTAGAAATTTGACAAGTAAATGTTTGCTAGGATACCAATCCGCGTGCTACTTTATTAACAAATGGATATTTGCCATGTGGATTTTCATTTTCATTTTTGCCTTTGCATATCTTGTTTTGGGCCTAAGGCTAAAAAAGATGGTAAGCCCATATGAGATTGGACCTGTTTGTGTTTCTTGCTGAAAAATACCAGTGTAATATACTATTGCTCTGACTCTTGAAAAATGCGTTGCGTGTCAGGTTCTCTGTGTTTTTGAAGAATCCGACACAGATGTGACATCCTTTTTGAAGAGTGCGAGGAACATAGGGCAAGCATATAATAGTAGATGCCCATGTCAAACTCCTAAGAGGAAAGGTACATAGATAT